TCATTGCTGTTAAGTGAAAGTAGCGGAGTGTTGCAATTTCGGACAATTTTCTTTTTGCCCCAACAAAGTTCGTAACATTATCCTAAAATAAGTATCGAGGTTTATCACGCCTCGATACAAATCGCCTAAGAGCAGCAAATGAAAGAATCTGCAAGTTAAGTTGCTAACTACCTTAATATGGTAAGCTTTAGTAGCTAGACACACAAACAACGCTATATAACCTCTAGTGGTCTTAAAGCAACGACCTTTTGTAACATTTCAAAATTACAGGACCGGCATAATCAATACCTGTGCCTAAAAAATGGTCTCTCAAGTGCTACTCTTTGTTTTGGCAAGTTTCCCATTAACTGATTATTAGTTGACAATTTTATATCTGTGACAAACAATACATTTATGGATAAAGACTGAATAAGTTTCTTACCATTTACAATCGAATAGCTTTGCTTTAAAATGTTAGCTAGTAAAACTGGGCCCTGCATGCATATAAGTTACATGATATTGTTTAACAAGCAACAAAGCAATCCTGTGTTGACCTGGTATAATTATGGGATGCTTAGCATTGAATGACAAGTCAGAATTTTGCAGCCTACCTCCCACCCGTAAAACACCATCATCATCTAGAAAAGGAAAACGTGAGCTTAAAACACTTTTAGGACTTAAAAATAAATTATTTTTGAGATCCTTTATATCTTTATGGAAGTGCACAAACTGGTACCATTTAATGATCAACTTCATAGCTGCTTGCCTTTCATTAGATGAAGGTACTACTGCAGGACTTTTTAACCTATTATCTTCAGAACCAAAGACCCGTTCTTTGCACCTAGAAATAAATCTTAAACAAAAAGAAATTACATTAACTATTTTAGATAAAGAAGAACAGTTCTGAAATAAATTGTCCAGAGTGTCATTAGTCAAATAAGCTGTTGTACAAAAAATTTATTTTGTCCTTTGTTCAGTTAAGACAGTTGCGTCACTGTTAGTCTCATTACTGACAGAACATTGTAGAGGCCACTTTGAACTGTTTAACGCTAAGAATGATGGCCCATGCCACCATAGGGATATGTTCGGCAGAACTTTAGGATCGATTCCTCTAGAAGGAAGATCGGCAGGATTCTGTTTCGACGAAATATAGCTCCACTGTTGATAGGGAATAGCATCTAATATTTCTGAAGTCCTGTTTTGCCACAAAAAGCTTCCATTTTCGAGGATTGAGATGAGCTGCTAACCAACAGAGAACAACCTTAGAGTCAGTCCAAGCGTGAAAAGGAAAATTTCAGTGGTGGAGAAGGCTTACGGACAGCTTTGATTAATTGGCAAGAGCACAATGCACCTAGGAGTTCCAGTCTAGGTATGGACACTTGTTTAATGGGAGCAACTTTGGTTTTAGCAACCACCAAATTGACTTCATTTCTGTCGTGAGATGTTGGTTGAAGACAGTAGTAGATAACAGCAGCGTAAGCAGATTCTGGACGCGTCACAAAAACCATGCAGATAGATTGGGTTAGACGTAGTTTGAAGCCACCTCGAAATTTTAACATTTTTGAGGAGAGCCTTAAGATCTTTTTGAAGTCGCTGCAACTTCTCTTCCCATTCTTTAGGCAGTGGGGCATCCCAGTCAAGTTTTAAAAACCACAATTGCTGATAAAAAAACATTTTCAACTTGACTGTACATGGTGATAGCAAGCCAAGAGGATCAAAGATTTTAGAAGATTGAGAAATGAACCTTCTTTTAGTAATTTCAGTCCCAAAATCCATAGAAATGTTAAATAAAAAATACGTTCTTCTGTAGAGTTCCAAAACAGCCCTAAAGTCTTGGCACATTCATCTGAGTGAACTTCCAGGTCACCTTCTTCATGATTATCAATGGATAAATTTTCGAGAAGCTTTGAGCAGTTTGATCTCCATTTCTTTTAAATTAAATCCACGTTTCTGTAATAGCTGTTGAAAGCTTAGAACATAGGTCAACTGCTTCCTCTAAACTGTTTGCTCCAGATAAACAATCATCTACATAGAAATCATTTTTAAGAACGGAGGATACATGAGGGATGATCCTGTTCTGCATCCAAAGCAATTTGCCACAAACAGCGTGTTGCTAAAAATGGTGTGCAGATGCAGTGCCATAACTAACTGTACATAATTTATATGTCTGCATTTTGAATTAACAGATTCTCTCCAAACAATTCTTTTGTAAATGTTGATCCTCATTATCTACTAAAATCTGGCGGTACATTTTTTCTATGTCAGCAGAAAAAGCTATTTTATGTATACGAAAGTTGAGCAATATTGAAAATATATCTCGTTGTAGTGTTGCACCTACCCTAAAACACAGAGTTCAAAGAAACTGAATTTTTAGGTTTACATGAACCGTCAAATACTACACGAAGTTTAGTGGTAGAGCTAATCGGTTTAAAACAACAGCATGATGCGGTAGATAATATACTTGCTTATTTTCTTCATTCTCAACAAACTGGAACCATATGATTTAAAGTTTCGTATTCTTGCATGAACTCCTTGTATTGCCTACCAAGTTCTTTATCTAAATCAAATTTTCTTTCCATGGATAGAAGACGAGAAATAGCCAAAGGTTTGGAGTCGCCTAACTCTTCAGCATTACTGAAAACGGGCAGTCGGACAACAATCTGCCATTTCCGTTTTACTCGATAATTTTCTTTAAAATGCTTCTCACAAAAACTCTTCTTCAATCGTTGATTTCTGATTTTGGAACGTTAATTCTTCCAACTCCCCAAAAACGCTTAAGTGTTGCATCGACGTTATCCTCAATATGTAAACTAATGCGATTAACACTAATGGGATGCGGAGTATTGCCTTCTGTTTTAATTCTGCCTGATACAACCCAACCAAAAATAGTATTTTGCGCAATTACATTTTTATAGCCAACAATCTGCCCTGGCTGAAGCAGAGAGAAAAGAAATAGTCAGCTCCAATTATCATGTCTATTTGTTTGGGCGTACTGAAATTCGGATCTGCAAGATTAATTGAATTCAAATAATCAAGGTTCCTTGCTATCAATCTTTACTGAAGGCAAAATGCGAAGTTAATTTTTTTTAAGAATGTATGCTTGTATTAAAACATCATTTTTTTTTCAACTCAGATTTCGGGAAACAATTTTACATTTACATAACCACGAGTCAAAGCTGCTTCAGAATCACCAAGTCCCTTTACGCAAATACGGGCATTTTGTCTGCGTATATTTAATTGTCGAATAAATGATTCACTGATGAAAAGAAGCTTCACTTCCACTGTCAAAAAGAATGATACATTCGTGACCTTGACCAGCAGAATCGTAAATTATTACTGCCGCCGTTGGTAAAAATGAAGTACTCTGACCCTGAATAGAAAAACTCGAAATATTATTTTGTTCGTCTGAATTAGAAATTTGTTCATCAGATGGAGATGAATTTGACACAACTACGTTATTACTTTTAATATCTTCATGCAGTAAAGTATGGTGTTTTGCTTTGCAAATAGAACACACATTCTGCGATGAACAAAATTTTAATTGATGATTTCCGAAACAATTGAAGCATAATAAATTCTTGCGAATGATATTTTTCCTAGTCGTAATATCTGCACCTTTAAATTTATAACACTTTGATAAAAAATGAGAACCATTGCAATGCTGACATTTTAGAACAGAATTTTTATTATTATATGAAACATTCTTCGAAACAGAGCACTGATTTTTATGCGATACTCGCTTTTCATTATTATGAGTGTTTAACATTTCAAGTGAAACACATCTTGAGTTTAAGAATTCCAAAAAACATTCTAAGGTAGGAAATTCTTCACCATTTTTTTGTGACCATAAATGGCGCGTTTCCGGATCGACTTTTCAAAAAAAAAAAATAAATAAATTAGCCAAACATCTCTAGACGAAGCCTTTTCGCAAGAAATTTTAATCCACGGATAACTTCATCAGATGTATCAGATAGTTTTCTTAGATTAACAGAATCAGCGCTAGTAATTTTGGGTTTCTCAAGAAATGTTCATGATTGCCAAAGTTTGGCACATTCTGAAAATTTAGCGACTTCTACTACGGTGGTTACATTAATGCGTAAGTACCAAGAATTATAGTACCAAGAATACGTAAGTACAGTTTTGTGCCACTAAAGCTTATTCTGTAAAAATGGAATTATATTATATTATAAGAATAATATTAGGGTATTTTTAGTTTTAGTCACTATCCTGTGCATTTTAATAAATTTATTTTTGAAAAATTAGTTTTAAAAATCTACAATTTTAAATCTACTCAATTATCTATTACTCTTTTAAACACCATTTTCTGGTATCCATCCAGCCACTGAAACAGTCTAATGAAAAAAACGGATGAATGCAGCCAAAGGAGTGTAAAACAATAATTCGACCAATTTTTTAATTCTATTTGCGATAGCTAAACTAGATGTTTGCTTGTCCAGCCGCCTAAAACAATTATGTTCTTTTACAGATTCAGCTAGTTATTAATTGTAATAGAAGCGATGAACTGCTTTTACTGATTTCAGATAACTTAGTTTATTTATCAATCAAGATAGATTGAATTAGAAAAAGAAATGAAATAGCTTACGCTTTGTCGAATGGAAACACACTGATGACTGGAAAATAAAAAATATCTTATTTAAAGCCCCAGTAGCATATTGCATGTTAATCCCTGAAATTGGTGATTAAATTTCAAAGACTAAATAATATCTTGCACATTTCTTTTAAATCTCGAAGTTTTCTGGTTAAATTTGAAATATTAATATCATAAACTTTGCCAAATTACAAAAACATTATTTCTAATCGCTTAATTTATGAATTAAGAATTCATTAAAATCGTATAAAATAGATAATAAATAACAAACTAAATTCGAAATTCGTAATCGGCCTTCTAAAGGCACATTTTCGGATGGTGGACTACATGTGTTGAAAATTTAGTGACTCTAGGTGCAGCTGTTTTGCAACAATGTGAGAAACAAACATACATACGTACTTAGATTCAAACATACAAAAAAATAAGATTCTTTATTATTTAATAATAGATGTTATACAATGTTTAATGTGAAAAATGAATCTTTATTACTGACTGTCTTGGTCTGGTGGTGGCTGTGGAGGGAGTTCATAATTATCTCTGGCAAAATGTTGGTCTTGAGAAATCTCGAGACCTATAAAAAAAGTTATACTTATTTTTTATTCCAACATAATTAATTTCTGTTGGCAATGATTATTTTGGAATAGATTTCTTACGCCTTTTTCTCATTTCGAATAATATGTATTAACTAATAATGATCCGAAGTGTTTCAAGTTTCGTTAAGCAGAAGAAATATTTTCATTAAAATATGAAACAAACTTTATTAGATTTCCAACCAAATTGTTTTTGCATTATGCGAAAACGAATTAATTAGAACATACATTTACTTAGTATCTAAATCTATTAATTTTTTAATCCTATTATCTTTTATCTCCATTCATGTGTACTTTCGTGTCGAATTTATAAATAAAATCGTAACTCTCAGAACATGGTGATAATTAAAACTAGAAGCTTTGTATCTCCTTAATGCACGTAAATTCGAAGCATTATTTTCTAATATTTGCTTTGAACTAAAGCAAACACGGCTTCTTAATTAAATGAAGTTTTATTAATTAAAGGATTTTACGCTTTTCAACTAACAATTTAATCTTACTTTAATGTTTGTTCCTTATTTGCTGTTCGAGTAAATGAGCTTATACCAATTATATTTCTTCTGATTTTACGGCTGAGAAATAACTAAGCTTTAGCACGAAAGATTAATAAATTAAAAATAGAAATCTCTGAAATTTGGATGGTAAATTAAAAACAAAAAACTGCAATTAGAAAGAAAAGCTACAGGAGATAACTTTAAGAAATTACCATCAAAACCTACTAATGGAAGAAAGATCCATACGAATGATAATTAATTGGCAGTCATATATATTGATGTAAAACGTTTCATGGATTCAAACAGTAAAATGTTACACAATGTGTTGGATAAAAAATAATATAAGTTTTTCTTAAATACTGATCCTGAACGTCTCCTCATAAACATCAAATTTCTTAAAATAAGGTAGATTGCGGATTTTACGACTGATTTTGAACTCTGCGAGTGGAACGTTTTTGTAAACCATTTCTTTTAGAGAAATTACAGCTACTAAAATTTAAAATAATAAGCATTAAATAGTGATAATTTATTTCCTTTTTAATTTTTTTTCTTAATTTACAATATAATTTAAAACATTAAAAACGAAACTGACTTTTTAATAAAAAGAACACTGCACATTTACTTGGCGCTTATTTGCTCTGTAATGCCATTAATATCGCCAAATTTAATGTGCTTTTGTTTACTTTCGGTCTCCGTTCACCAATAAGTATTGAATCGTTTAACAATTGCCTGAACCGAAGCCTGGAGCTAAAACGCGACCGATTCCCTTGGCTGTAAATGAATAGTGTCCATGAGAGTTATCACCATGGAACTATCTTGTGAAAAAAAGACAGTTCCACTGTTGATAATTCTCATGGGCATCAGCAAAGAAGATAGTAATGTTGAAAAGTATAGCAACCAAAGTTAGAAAGATCAAAATAGTTGAATAAGTGGCTAAAAGAATTTCTTTGATATTAAACGCAGATTTTTCGTGGCTATTACATAAATTTTCAGCTCTACATACTGATTTGTATTTCTCAGTGTCACATTTAGTTATCGATCAGGCAGACTCTACATATACGAATTGAAAGTGAACTGTAAATACGCTATATTTCTCCCGCCTTTTTAGCATGCCTTCGTAGTGTGGTGGTCTGCATGCTGGGCGCGTATTCCAGAAGTCCGTAGTTCGATTCCCGGAAAAAGCATTGCTCATTTTTCACATCTCCTGCTTCCAAAAAGTATCTAATGACTCTACAGTGGCGCTCGAACTAAAAGGGTGGTGGGTGATGATTCTCCACATTCAAGATTTGGGGATCGGGTCCCCTAAAACCCCAGTCGCCCTTTAAAAATATTAGTATTTCACAGAGATTTTTTTGCTGCGCCTAGCGACAACAGAATGCTCCACCAGTTGAGTATAAATGCTGATAGTCATCTAACAAGCGGTACAGCAACTTAACTGGTGGTAAGTAAGCATAATGAAGTATAAAAATACTAGTACAATCAATGTTCATTAAAACTTTACTTTCTGCAATTCTTAACTCGGCAGAAATGCTGTGCTACATGGAAGGTTTTCATTATTTGGCTAATCTTTGGAATATGGTAACAGGTAGTTTGGCGACATTTTGGTAAGGCGATAAGCAGTGTAAAGTCAAGAGTGTACGCAATGCCATTTTTGTGCAATTCTAAGATGTTTTTTTAAGTGAAAATAGGTCGACGTGTACATTGATACCGTGTATGTGCAATTCTTAAAAACGCGGCAAGCAGTTTGCTATTCTGCACTTTCTCCCTATTTTGCACCTAATCTTCGTCATGATTAAGCACTTGTGTTCCATAAAAATTCTAGCATAAGCGTAATTCGGCTAGCAGATTGTTGAAAAAAAAATTTTGAGTAAAAAAATACATATACACTTTTACTTCGTGAAAACAAAATGGCGTCCAAACAAAAACCAGCAGGTTGCTGTAGCAGGGTTAGTCGCCAAAAAATTGCCAAGTTACCATAATCCAAAGATTAACCCATTATTTTTCTCATTTCAAAGTCAATACGAACCAGTTCCTTTGAGAAAGTCACGAAAATATCCTCCCATCTGACAGCCCTTGTGTAGTTTATTAAAATAACATAACTTAATTTTTGGAGTTAAAAGTCTAACAGAGTTAATAAGTTATTAAATTTAACAAATTTATTTCACAACAATATTGATACCGAATACAGTCAACGTTTTTCACAAGAAATTACTCATTTTTTCTACTACAGTGACCGATGCGTAAACACCATGTGTTCATTAAATCGGCTTTTATTATAGCTGCCATTTGTTATGAAGTACGTTTTCTTAATTTCTATAATATTAGAAACCACACAGTTGAATGCCATTTCTATCATATTGTCTAAGGGTGCGAATTCATGTAGATTTAGTGGTAAAAATATATTAACGGGTGCCCCTTGGCGAACATTGGCGATTTTTGGCGGTACATGGATACCGAGTTTGTGCAATTCTTTGATTTGTTATTTTGGCTTGCGTAGCGACGATTTTTGAATAAAATCGCCGCTACACAAAGACAAAATAACAAGATGGAGAACTGCACAAACTCAGTATCCATGTACACATCGGCCTATTTTCACTTAAAAACACATCAGACTATTGCACAAACTTGGTATTGCGCAATCCCTTGACTTTATCCATGTACACATCGACCTATGTTCACTAAAAACACATCAGAGAATTGCACAAACTAGGCATTGAGAATTTCCTTGACTTTGTCCATGTACACATCGATCTATATTCACTTAAAAAGTCAAAGGAGCTGCCAACAAAAAAATATATAACCTCAATAAACTGCATTTTAAATCAAACAATGAAATAATATAAAAAAGAAAATTCCTCTTTGCAATACACAAAGGAAATATCCACTTACCTTATTTACGAATTAACACGTCTTCAGACAAACAAAATTCCTTAACAGCATCCAAAAACTTCCTAAAATTATCTGAACTAGAATTTGTATAATTTCGTTGCCACATAAATTCACAAAAATAAGAGTCAAAAATATCCTCCTTAGCGCTGTTATCGTCCGACGTTCGATAATACGCATTTCCATTCTACAAACAGGACACTTAATAATGGCTACTAAGTAAACCTTCTTTTACACACCAGTAATCAATGCTCTTTTCCCCTTTCTTTCCAACTCGTACAGAAACTTCAAATTAATCTTACCACATTCAGCCAGTTTACCGTCTAAACCACAAAGCAAGCAATGTACTTCCTAACCAACATACCGCACAAGCCCTTACAAATCTTTTCCCAAATTTTTCAAAATTTACCGCAATCACGGAACCGATTGCGTCATAATGTTTCCATGACATTCTACTATACCATAAATGAAACAACAACTTGCTGATAAATGAAACAGCAACTTCGCGATAATACAGGGGGCGCCCTTCAATCTACTCCAACCGATCTAGTTAATAACTATGCAAGATGATTGGAACACATTATTGAAATAAATTAATTCTCAAGGCAAGAAAGTAGCCCTAAATAACTGAAGGAACACAACAGGGATAAAATAAATTCTGCTAAACATGCGACAAATATCACAGATATCAGTAATAACAGTGCAGTTCTGATTGGATTCACTCAGTTAATTCTTTGAACTGAACTGACTCTCACGAAGGTAGCTGGGTTTATAGGATTGTCCAATGCTTTTGGAATCTTGAGGAAAACTCGTTGTTATGTCTTCAAAAATGCATTTCTCAAAACGTTAAATACATACAAATGCAATATATGGCCACACAACCTATTAAATATCAATACACGCTAAAATATTTAAATAAAAAGTGTCTAATAAACAAACAAATAAATAAAAACAATATACAATTTTAAAAGTATACAAAAAACTAACTACAGTCAAATAAATATATTTACATATATTTGCAACAATATCGTACTTTTTTCCTCATTGACATCATTTTCAAATCTATTAAATGCTAATAATTCTGATAATTACTTATATCACACGAAAGTAGTTGAACATTTTCAGATTCCAAAAGCAACTTTTAGTTACTTGAATAAGGAAAAGTACTCTAGGATTATCTACATAAGGATACAATTCTTACCTTAGGCAGTTGGGTAATTAATGCATACTGTTAGGACCATCAACTGCAGAGCAATAAAGCCCCCGAACGCTGGTAGTTCGGTTCGAGGCAAAGAACGTCTATGCAAAGAAGGACAGACTCTATAGAGGTAATGTAAACCAATTTGTCTTCTACGCCGCTAGAAAGCAGAGAGAAAATTCGCCAAGAGATTTGGCACGGAACCTGGTGGCGAGAATTTCGCCCTCCGCGATATATCGAACCTGGCGTGTTTATGTATTAAAGATATTTCCAAAAATAAAATAATTAAATTAAGAGTTAATGCATCCACTTTTAATCCAAAAATCAAATCGAAATAATCTCCAGACACTAATCAGACTGCAAACAAAATCCTCTCCAAAAGGTATTGTTATTAATAATATTATTGGATATTACTTCAGTGGAAATATGACATTATTTTGCATCAAAGTTAGCCTTAAACATTTCTTCCATGAATTTTGTAATGAATTAATGATTACTTGATGATTATCTTATTCCCATGAAAGATTTCAATTCATTCATGACTTTGTAAAGTGGCAAAAATATTTGCTTTGCTATTATTACGTGTTATAAACATAGTTCTATTTATAAATAATAAAAAATATATTTTATAAGAGGAAAAAAATAGCAGAAGAAATAAATTATACAGCCAAAATTTAAATTTTTACAGTCAGTAAATACAGTTTAGATAAATCTAAAGACCGTAAAGGTAATCCAAAGAGTGTAAACGTGTGTGATATGCGCGTGCAAAGTATGGCACTTGAACACCAAAATGAAGTGCACCCAAATAACTGCACTTCTTCAGAATGTTTATACCGGAAAGTGTGGATAACTAAAGAGCGCCAACAAAAGTCATGCTACTTTAAGTAATTTTAAAAGTTTGAAAACGTAGAAAATGTGTGACTTTCTCTCAGATTTTTCAAGTTAAGCAAGAGAGACGAACGAATTGAAGAAAATTAAATAAATAAAATCTCATGTTGAAGAAAATTAAATAACTAAAATATCATGTTAAAGAAAATTAAATTAAATACTTTTATAAGATGTTCTTTGATAGCTTTAGAACTTTGGGACACTACCAGAAAAGAAGTTCATTCTAGGACAAATAAATAATTTTGTAATAAAATTTTGATGGAAGTAAATTAAGTGTTTCAGATGGTTGCAAGTTAATGTAGAGGAGAGCTGGCGAAGCAATGAAGATAGAAAACTTACAAACAACAGCCAAGCACTGTAGTGAAAATATGATGGTGTGCCAAGACAATGATCGCAAACACAAAGCTCGAAATAGGAAGAAATGGCTGCTTTACAATTCACCACATATTCTGAAAACTGCACCACAGTCACCAGACAGTAATCCAATTGAACAGATTTAAGAAGATATGATTTTGTGCTCAGTTCCAAATAATCATGACTTTAAGCATCGTTTAGTGCAAGAAAATTAATAAAGAAATGTTCCTGGATTCGCTAAATCCAGTGGTTAAACGTCCTTAAGAACGTCTTTATGAATACAAAAAGAGACTGCATAAAGTGTTTTCCTCTTTTTTAATAAAAAAAGTATCCATGTGCATAACATAATATTATATTATGTGTACGATTTCACTTTAATTATTTTTTTTTACTATTTGGAACACTAGCTTTTGAAGTTATTACTTATGTTTGTTTATTGTGTTAAATAAGCAATAATTTCATTCATTTAAATATGAGTCAGCATATTTAAATTAAAAATTCCGTATAAAGTTTTAAACTGTATTCAAATCCTGCAAGTTTACGAATACTTTTTCTTCTGTAATGAGTCGATGGAGGAAAGTTGATTCCAAAGTAATAAATTGGAATTTCTGACATAACAAGAAAGTATTATTCTAAAACGTTCAACATTCCAACACAATATTAGCAAATTAGCCCAAAGAGGCTACTATTCTCGAAACGACATTTTGTGTTGTATCACTATAAACGGAGAATAACTTTTCGGATTTTTGTCACCAAATATGATCGCTCTGTATTATATTTAAAGAAACTAAATAATGAAAAATCTGTATGCATTTATCAATGTTTCTCACACTGTGAAAATAACGACGCTACCTACAGCCATCAATTTTGAATAACGTAGTTCTTCATTCCAACGCGTACATCCGAAAATGCGAATATTTGAATTTCGAATTTTATATTTCATATTTTGTAAAACTTTAACGAATTTTCGATTAACAAGCTCAGTGACTTGAAAGCGGGCTTTGGCAACACTGTACGAAATAAAACAATTTTATCTCTAGCGCGCGAGGCTATATATCGGACATTCTAAAGATACGCTGTTTTTAAATATTTTTAAATATTTTGATATTTTACTGTAGAATTGAATCTTTTGCGGGTAGTTGCGAAGAACATGATATTTAATTAATAAATTTAACAGAGGAAACGTTGATAATAAAAAGACAAAACAAACCTTTCTAAGTCATTTTACTAAGAAAACTGAACATTGATATGGTAAACTGAGAAAAGACAGGAAAAAAAAGTAGAAAATGTTTGCCAACACTTAACACTTCATCTGGAATTGTAAACAAATGCTGCTTTCAAAATTTTTGTAATTTTGCCGTTGAATTGTATATATAAGAAAATTATGCTTGATAATAAAGCTAAAATAACAAAAAGGAATGGGTTAATATAGATGAGTATAACAGCAGACTGGTAAACTGCGAGCTAAGCAAAGTGTAAAAAACCTTAACAAATTAAATATTAAAATTAGAAATATTTCAGAATTTTTTTAAATGTTTATTTGATGGAAACATTATTATTTTTTGTAAACGTTACATTTTGCTTAAATATGTGCTATATTATATATAGTTTATCTATTCCCTTTTAAGAAACGTTTGTAAAAATAAATCGCTGAAACACTGAAGAACTTATTAAAATCAGTTGCCGAAATTTTACATTTAACTGTATTATAATCATTAATTGGGTTATCTTAATGAAATGCACACGTGTTTTATTACTTTCATGGAGGAAAGTACATCAAATTTGTAGCAAAATAATTGCATAGAAGAGCATTAATATAAATATCAAATCCGCCGAAATTCTTTCTGATTTCATGTTAACATTGATTTAACAGCATTTATCGCTCACAAACAGAAAAGATCAATATGACTAAACAAAACTTTAGAACTTCTTTCAACCAGAATTTTGACAGTTTTTCGCTAACTTAAAATTCCAAAGCAAAACGTGAGAAATGAAAAGGTTTTGACTTCTTTTCATCACGATGAATCGACATTCTCTCTCGTATAACTCGATCGATTCGAGTTTCTTTCGAAATATCGATATTTTTATCGGCACTTGAGTGAGGTTATCACTCGTGTAATCGTGTCAGGTATCGGAAAATGTTTTGAAATGTGTTGCCACCTGTCCTTTCCTTTTTATCGGAGTCAATAAATTTGGAAACGTAATCCTTTACCTGGTATTTTATCGAATATAACTTTTGCGAGTGATATCTTTTGTGAGTAATAGTTCTTAACATTACTCAAAATATGACATTTCAATGTCCGATACTTTTAAGTGGAGTAAATTTTCATGTTTTAGACCCAATCAAGGAAGAAATGGAATCATGTTCATATGATTGCCTTTCTGAACTGTTTGTCAAATTATTGGAAACTTGCTTTTCATATTATACTAAACTAAAGTTAAAGAAAGCTATTTAAATATATTTAAAAGAGAAATAAATAATTCGAAGAAATTGCTTTTAAAGATTTACTTCATAATTTTCAATGCAGATATTTTGAGTTTTTATGTATTTTTGCCTTGTCGCGAAGTGAGAACTGAATTAATTGAATGAGAAATACTGAATCGTCTGTGAAAAACTGTTTTTTTTTTTTTTTTTTGGTTGCTGTTCTTGTTTGCATAATTTCTTTTATACATCGTTTTAGATTTATTATGGTATTTGAATAGAATATGTGGCAACGATTAGATAATTCTTAAGACGATATAAATTTTGTACATTCTGAGTTAAAAAATGAATGAAATGTAACGCTGCTAAGTGAACCTACGGCTTTGGTAAACAAATACAGTGAATTTTAAAGAGTGAATTTATTCTATTGTGTTTGTGCGCTAT